TAAAAGTATGCAACAAAGCAGCCATACGGTCAGATCGCAGTCAGTCATGCGGGAGACGTCCGGACCAAGGCCGTGGCCACCAACGGCGGACAGGAGCAATGCCCAGATAAGGAACATGTGACAGATAGGCCTCATTATGTGGCTTGGTTCTTTTTTATGACTTCTGAAACTAAAAAGCTTTATGATTTTTGTCACATTGCTTCTGGCAGTTTCAAGCTCCCGAATTTGTTTCCGCCTAAAATGCTGCGACAAGTCTTCTCTCTTGAAAAGCACCCAGCGAATTGAAGGCGCATGACAAATCTGTCGCACTGTGAACCATCGATCCCTTTTCAAAATTATTACCAGCCTATATCCAGACCGTACTTTGGCATCTACGCCGTGGAGACAGATGATTCCTCAATGATCCGAGATGCCTGCCCGCTCGTGGAATTTCGCCTCCCTAGGGTGACGAATAATCTTGGGAAGCTGAATAGCTTTATATGCCAAATGACAGATGAGTCAAATAGGCAAGACTGTACGCCAGTGAGAAGCAGCTCTAGGTGCAAATCTAGCATAGCGGTCATGACTGTTGAATAAGGAGCGATAACAACCTTCATTCCTACCCCCTACCCCCCCCCCCCCCTCCCCTGGTCATCGGGTTTGCTTTCCAGAAAATGTTCCTGAAGAACACCACTAGCTTGCCCCCCCCCCCCATTTTTAAAAGCGTTCCCACGCCTATGGCACGAGATCGCGTGCATGTCGGCAAACGTGTCTGAAACCGCTGAGCACAGCACCTTGCTGCTCGGGCATGGACGGAGGAACATCGAACCTAGATTGCTACGCACCCGCTCTCGCCCCCTACACTCATTAGGATGCTTTACATCAACTCTTTCGCGATACATGAAAAACTTGTCTTCTACTTGGCATTGACCCCGCCCCACAAATGCTATTTCTGATATCATGTTCCCCTACCCGCTCAGCTCTCATGTGCGTTGCACTCCGAAATGCTCCTAGACTATCACATGATATCCACGTAGGACTTTCTGTCAATTTCCACGAGTACATCAGGAGCTGTGGAAGAGAGACGGGAATATAGTCCCGTCACCCGTTCGCGCTTCGGATGGAACGCCAGCTGTACCAGGGTCAAAGCACTCACTAGAGCCCATATCGCACATAGCCGTTCCGGAGCAGTCTCAGGGAGCCAAGCTTGCGTAGCATCCTGACCGCCTCCATGTCCTCCAGCTTGTAGATCATGAGGTCAGGCATCCAGAGCTTTCGAACCAGGGTCGGGTTCAGCGTGATGCTCTTGGTGTCGTTGCTCAGCTCTGGCAGGGTCAGCCGCCGGTCAGGCCAGAGTACGCTCATGTAGACCTGGTAACGTACCACCTGCAGACAGGGAGGACAGACATCCGGTCAGCCAGGGTACGCTCATGTAGACCTGGTAACGCACCACCTGCCGACAGGGAGGACAGACACCCGGTCAGCCAGGGCACACTCATGTAGACCTGGTAACGCACCACCTGCGGACGGGGAGGACAGACATCCGGTCAGCCAGGGCACGCTTAAGTAGACCTGGTAACGCACCACCTGCCGACGGGAAGGACAGACATCCGGTCACCCAGGACACGCTCGTGTAGACCTGGTAACGCACCACCTGCCGACAGGGAGGACAGACACCCGGTCAGCCAGGGCACGCTCACGTAGACCTGGTAACGCACCACCTGCCGACAGGGAGGACAGAGACCCGATCAGCCAGGGCACGCTCACGTAGACCTGGTAACGCACCGCCTGCCGACAGGGAGAACAGACACCCGGTCAGCCAGGGCACGCTCACGTAGACCTGGTAACGCACCACCTGCCGACAGGGAGGACAGGCACCCGGTCAGCCAGGGCACGCTCACGTAGACCTGGTAACGCACCACCTGCCGACAGGGAGGACAGACACCCGGTCAGCCAGGGTACCTGGTAACGCACCACCTGCCGAAGGGGGGGGGGGGCGGACACCCGGTCAGCCAGGGCACGCTCATGTAGACCTGGTAACGCACCACCTGCCGACAGGGAGGACAGACATCCGGTCAGCCAGGGCACGCTCGTGTAGACCTGGTAACGCACCACCTGCCGACGGGGAGGACAGACATCCGGTCAGTCAGGACACGCTCGTGTAGACCTGGTAACGCACCACCTGCCGACGGGGGGGGGGGGGGGCGGACACCCGGTCAGCCAGGGCACGCTTATGTAGACACGTACGCCCACACTCACGTGCGTCATCCTAGCCAACATGAAAGAAGAATTGCTGCCCACCTAAACGACTTTTTGCGCCGTTTTTTTTTTTGCATTTCATGCTGGGATGCATAACCGCTGTCTGTTTTGTACGATTTGTACAGTTTGTTCCAAATTAGGCCGCTTTTTGAACACAATAAGACCATTGGTAGGCCTGCAAGATTGGTGCTGTCAAGCCTTTTCATATTGGCAGCACTGCATAGCAGTGAGCTTCCTTTTGGTGGTCTACAGCTATGTCACGGCATCGGGATGACCATATTTTGGTGGTCTATAGCTATGTCACGGCATCGGGATGACCATATTTCGGTGGTCTATAGCTATGTCACGGCATCGGGATGACCATATTTTGGTGGTCTATAGCTATGTCACGGCATCGGGATGACCATGTTTTGATGGTCTATAGCTATGTCACGGCATCGGGATGACCATATTTTGGTGGTCTATAGCTATGTCACGGCATCGGGATGACCATGTTTTGATGGTCTATAGCTATGTCACGGCATCGGGATGACCATATTTTGGTGGTCTATGGCTATGTCACGGCATCGGGATGACCATGTTTTGATGGTCTATAGCTATGTCACGGCATCGGGATGACCATATTTCGGCGGTCTATAGCTATGTCACGGCATCGGGATGACCATATTTCGGTGGTCTATAGCTATGTCACGGCATCGGGGTGACCATATCTTGGCCAAAATGTCCGATGTCTTATTTTGCGGCAGGCATACCACAAGCGTTTCGCCGGTCCAGGTAAGATTCCTCATCGAAACTAAAATCAGTCTTACATATCGAAAACACTTAACGAACCACTCGCGCCGTCACTCACCCCTTTGGCTTCGTCTATTTCTAAGATATCCTCGACGCTGAAGCGTAGGAAGCAGCGCATAATAACGCTTCCTGAAATGGAGCCACGTCAGAGAAGCATCAAGCAACGAGAGAGCCCAGCGGTAACGGCAACGCCCAGACTGGGCCGATGCGGTGTTCGGGAAGTAGCGTGAAGGTCGTTTGCAGTTTTATGCACATTGCTCATTCGGGGGTGCGCCTCATTTGAAAAAAAGCTTCGCGCATGGGAGTAGTCTACGTGAGTTGTACCGGAATGGCTTACGCCATGAATAAGCGCCAACTCGTGCGGCACCCGGGACACGCGTGGGTGCGCACCATCCGGGAGGCATACCGGGTGGTGCGCGCCCAGGGATTCCAAGAGAGAGGCACCCAAGGATGCCAAAAGAGACGCACCCAGGGAGCCGGTACAGAGGCACCCAAGGATGCGGGGTCAGAGGCTCCCGGAGGTGGCAGTGCAGAGACACCTAGGGGTGCCAGTACAGAGACGTCCAGGGCTGTCAGTACAGAGACGCCCAGGGATGTGAGTACAGAGGCGTCCAGGGGTGTCAGTAGAAAGGCACCCAGGCGTGCCCCTCCGGGCGCTGAGCGGCTGGACAGGTGGGTTCGGAGGCGCCCCACCAGCGTGGAGGTCGACCAAACTCCAAGACGATTCCACGCAACTGTCGTTGGTCTGGCTAGCGCTCTTGAAGTTCGGTTTTGTTCGCTTCCGTCGAGCCAATGGCTTGTATGATTCAGTGCATTGCACCGTCGTTGACTTTTGTGTGTGAAGCCGAGGATTGTGTCACGTGTCATGCAGAATGTTCATGCATGTGGTGTTGCTATCGTTTGCTCGACTTCAGTGGTATCGAGAAACTGTCAAATGTTGTTTTGTGTGAAGTGCTGCACATTCATCTGATATTCTGTTGAATATATTTAAAGAGATGGAAAGCTTTTGAACAGAGCAAGCTGGCTGGTCCTATAGCCTGCTTTCTAGCTGGTGGTGGTGGAATTAAATGTTGCTAGGTAGCAACTAAGATTTGTCCACATTGCAAAACTTTGCCGCTGATCGTAACCGTACCACCTTTTTTAGATAACTTATGTATTTGTAGCTTATGTATTTGTAACTTACGTGTTTGTAACTTATGTATTTGAAACTTATGTGTTTGTAACTTATGTATTTGTAACTTATGTATTTATCTGTAATTTATGTATTTGTAACTTATGTATTTATCTGTAACTTATGTATTTGTAACTTATGTAACTTACGCTAAGTATCTGCCCACATTGCTTCACGCTGGACATGTCCTCACTCTGCGGCCATCCGTAATTGTTTACTCGTGTTCGGCGCAACCACAAACCTGCTACCTGGATGCTGCCTCCAGCCGTGCTCATTACTCGTGACCGGCCGACGGCACGTAGCTGCCCTCTGAAGCGGTGGAAACAGTCTGCCTCTGACCGCAGAGGGAGCAGCCTAGTATAATGGTCAGATGTGACGTTTCCAAGGTAAAAAACTAGAGCGTTTTCGTGTTTTAATATTGACTTGCTCGCGTGCTGGACCGGGTCAAAGTCAGGCAGTTAGCTTCGGGAAGCCTTAAAGGGTACCCATTTCTTCTATGCTTCTCTAATAATACTGCTTTTCACAATACCATAGCCAGTCATCGTGTTTTCGTATTGCATCGCTGTTCACACCTACATCGTCAGCGACAACAGCAGCTGTTGTCTCTTAGCTGCTAAGAGAAACACTGAGGCATCAGTTATCTCAAAAGGGTGGTACGGTTACGATCAGAGGCAAAGGTTTGCAAAATACCTGGCGATGGGCAGAGGAAGGAAAATTGGCTGGGCCTGTCCGAAAATACACGTAACTACACACTTCTCTCTGGATTTCAACTATTGCGTTTTCAAGATTGGGGGGTCCCGCAACATTTAAGGCGGCCGCGAGCCCCCTTCTGGGCAGGAAACTGCATCACTGGCTACAGTGCCTTACTGTAGTGATCAGCACCGCGGGTGACGCGCATCCGCGCCCACTTGACTTTGAGGACCCGTTGAAATACCCACGAGCGTCCTTTTTTTGAATTCTACGAAGCATGAGTTGATCATGCTCGGACGTGTACGCGTCATCAGTTCAATAGTCCTCATTTTCGTTTCAGGGAAGAGAACATTTCAACATAATGTCCGCCGCTTGACGGCCGACTCTCCGCACGCCAGGAAAGCGCCCATTCATCCACAGCATGTCCACCCTCTCCGGCACGCTCCACGTGAGCGTCCCCCACTGGCTGTAGCGGCCTCTGTAGTCGTTCAGCCGCGCGGACAGCCGAGAGTGCGAGAGCGCCCAGCTCCGCTGTTTCACCCTTCATTTGGAGGAAGAAGCGGGGCAAGACAGCCGTAGGGCGATTTCTGTCATTCCTCACTGGCGATCCAATCACCTTTGACCTCTTGACCTGCCTGATGCGCGGAAGGATTATGCGTAGAACCTGTGTGATATGCGTACAAGAGGATTTACGGGTATACAGCGCAGGTGACACATGGGTTTGACATCTACACACCATGATTATCGTATTTGTTATCATTGATGCTCCCGCCTGTCGAAAGTCTCTGACTACGGCCCTACTGTTAAGTCTGGAGTCAGTTCTGTCTTCTTTGCCGCAAGGATTCAGGTCTGATTACTGCTTTGTGTCTTTCTTTGCTCACGGCTATTGTTCTGCTTGCATCTAATAGCCGGCTAACGTGTAATTTTTACTAGATCCCAGTAGTTACTTTCAGCAGTAACTTTCGCTTCCAGCGACAAGACGCTGGTCAAACCCGAGTTATACAAATGATCGAGAGCTCAGTCCATACCAGGACTGAGCTCTTTGAATACCAGAGACTGAACTCCTGGACTTTTTGAACACTCGACCCAGCTCTTCAATTTGCCCCGGATCGGCCTGCAGCTTAACTCCTGTACTCTTTGAACACTCGACCCAGCTCTTCAATTTTCCCGGATCGGCCTGCAGCTTATCTCCTGGACTCTTTGAACACTCGACCCAGCTCTTCATTTTGCCCCGGATTGGCCTGCAGCTCAACTCCTGGACCCTGAGCATTCGACCCAGCTCTTCAATTTGCCCCGGATCGGCCTGCAGCTCAGCTCCTGGACTCTTTGAACACTCGACCCAGCTCTTCAATTTGCCCCGGATTGGCCTGCAGCTCAACTCCTGGACTCTTTGAACACTTGACCCAGCTCTTCAATTTCTCTAACCGTTTATCTAAAAATCAATAAATAGCAAGCTAAACGCGCCACCGACGCACACAATTTGCTGCGTGTTTTAAACCAACATCGCATGCTTTTGATTTTACTTGAAATGTCTATCTGAAATCTCTATATGTCAACATTAAGTTAAGAACGTGTCGATACATGAAATAAATTTGGTGGGGGGGGGGGAGGCACGTGCCCCGGGGGTGCTGTGCGCGCGTGCCCCTGAACACGGTTTCTCCGTTGATATGTGTGTTGCGGCGTGGGGAAATATTGTTTCAGTGTGAGCCCTCTCACCTTGGACGGGCATATTTAGTTTTTATAACGCCATCTGTAACACGAAATCTAAGATACAGAGACGTCGGAGGGGAAGACTGGATGGGTTCGCTTCAATAGCGCACGAAGAATTACGAGGCATTTTGTCTAGCCGTGGTCTCGTGGGAGTCCGATTATTGACCACGAACTCAACGTCGAACGTGACCCCAAAAGAAGCCAATTGCGACTCGTCGGCCGCGTTTGTATAGCCGCGGATGCTAACTCGGTCGCCACGAGGTCGTTAACGAGCCCACACGGCAATTGACAGGGACAACAATGGTCGCGGCGCACGTGGGAGACAATGCGCCAGTGTCAGGCATCGCACGGCCGACACCCGACGGCCGGCGTAAATGCACGAGGGTCGCGCCGTGCGAAAGGCTCGGACACCGCCGTGACGTGTCCTTCGCCTGTCCGCTCGTGACAAACGTGACGCGGGCAGTGGCGCACATGGTCCGTGAGTTACGCTGCAGCTTGGCGAGGGCGGGCCGTGGCTAAATCAACAGCGAGCTGGTAATTTCGGGTGATGTTTCCGAGGTGCAGGATCGACCAACAAAGTTGCCTGCTCTGCACGCGGTGCGCACACTTACCCGGTGTGAAAGGGAATGCCGTCTTGTCGTAATCCGCAGGGATGACTTCATCCACGTCGGTCACATGTTCGGTGGGGAGCTCGTCAAACGAAATGGGTGCGACGGGTGACTCTGATACACCAGCTGCCCTGCAACACACAGGGCACAGTCACCAGTCTGGCGCTTCACAGTTCTGCGGCTGGTCCGCGGGACTCCACTGTCATACCCACACACACCTGCTGGTGACTACCATAAGCATCTCAGCCACTACCTGCAGTAGTTACCGACGGGCGCATGTCCAGTTCCGGCGGTCTCAAAAGTCTATAGCACTTCTGAAAAACCCGGATAGCACGCGGGTTGTGGGACCATGTCAGCGTCTGAAGTTTGTCTTACGAACACTTATGACCTCCGGGCACTTCAGATGGAACCAAGGCACCGATACTGGATATGATAGTTCTGCATTGACCCCGCGCCCACTGAAAATCAAAAGTCAACCCCACTGTTTCGGGTTCTAAGATCGATGTCAGGGAGCGGACATGTCCATGGCGTACACTCGAGAGTGCGTGAGGACACTCATGAGGACACTCGAGAGGGCACTGGCTGGATATGCACACATTGGCTTACACTCTGGCCACTACGACCCTCAGCTGGGTGATCGTCTGAGCTAACGGCCGTGGGGATCTCTCTCTCTCTCTCTCTCTCTCTCTCTCTCTCTCTCTCTCTCTCTCTCTCTCTCTCTCTCTCTCTCTCTCTCTCTCTCTCTCTCTCTCTCTCTAATCATATTACTTAACACTAAAACCATGACGAAACATGGAAAGAATCGTGTGATGTCCGTCAGACAGGTGGCGAGCGCGTTGGGTCGGAGACTCCAAACCACGCGCTGATCTAACAGCGACCGTCTAAAAGCATCGAACGATGTCACACGAGCACTCGCGGGCACGTTCCCCGGCGCCCTAGGGACACGGCTCCGGCGCCGGCCGGCAGGAGCCAGACGACGTTACAGCGCCCATGCGCAACGACACTGCATTCCCCCCCCGCAGAAGGCAGAAAGATGGAGGCGGTCAGGCCGGACCCGCGGACAGCTGCCTCGCCTGGGCGCCTCTGGTGGGCCGCATTCGACGGGACGGTCTCTGCTGGAGTTGTCTGGCCCTGGTTCCCTGGTAGGTCATCTGCTGGGGGGTCTCTGGCTCGTCGGCAGCCCTCTTGTCCGGCCGGCTGAGTTCCACGCTTTTGCCGCCGGACGTCCGGAATGTGGAGGGTCCGACGTCCTTGGAATGTCGCTTGTCCGACGTCCCTGGAAGGTGGCTTGTCCGACGTCCTTGCCCACGCGAACGGGCTGTGAGAGGCGCGGGACGCTCTTTGGCGGATGTCCTGCTGTTTGGGTTCTTTACGCGGACGTCGTCGCTCGCGTGGATGTCTGGAGTGGCTTCTCCCATCCGCCGGTCGCAGACGGCCTTGTTAGCCGCCCACCGCTTCCCGACTCGCGTCGTCAGATCGCTGACGACCGGGGCGGCAGCTGTGGCGACGAACGGTAAGGCGCGTCACATTCGGCGCCCGTGGTGCAGAACGGGGACGACTTGCCCGTTGTACAGGGTGAACTGGCTCGTACCGAGCCAGACGCATTTGCAAGCTGCTTTCGAAGTTTGCTGCACTTCACCTGCCCCGGGCGGACCACGATCCTGCTCTGAAGCTGTTCTGTTCTGTTCTGTTCTGCTGTTCTTATGGAAGTTCTGTCCTGTTCTGAAGCACTCCACGGCGGCGTCGCCCGAGGCCAGCACAAGGCTGACTCCGTGTGATGGATGCCACGGTGTTGGACATCAGTTTCGAGCTCCAGATTGACCAACTGTTGTCCATTATCAGATACCATCTCGTTCTGGCATACTCTGCAGGCCCAGACAGCGCTGACGGACTTGATGGTATCTGTGACTCAGTGGCGGAGGTCAGGGCACTCTCGCGCCCAGTGGGCGCGGCTCCGCCGGCTGTGGCCGACCGACATTACAGCTCCTGGGCGCTCACCACACCAGAATTCGACTTCAGAATTATTTGCCTGTAATTATCAATAGCAAAAATGGTCTATATGGTAGCACATACATGTCGTATGGTATGCATAAAATCTCGGCTGGCATATTAACTGGTGCTGCCGGAGTCCGGTTCCCTTTCTTTCTGACTTTCGAGCAAGCGGATATGCCCGGGGCTCCTCTGCCGCCAGTGGCGAGAGGAGGCAGGTCTTGCCGGGTTTCTCCCGGCCGCTGGAAGTGTGGCCCAGTCAGCAAACAGTGCGGACTTCGAGTGAATACGAGAATGTGAGGCAAAGTGGCTGATGTGAACTCAGAGCACCTGCGAGGAATTTATTGCCGACATTGTGACTGCATGGAACTCAGTGCTCGATCGGGCAGGATGGCTCGGTCTTTGAATCCGCACAAACAGACGTCTATGAGGAAGCATCTTCAGGACCTGACCACCAGGAGAGGTAGAAAGGACAGCAGTCCGTTCCAGAGGTACTGAGAGCGCAGCAAGAGAGAGGGTCACGGGCCTTGAAGCGGCAAATACAGGCCAGTGCTCAGACTGTTAAGAGCAATAGCGGCAAGGGTATCACCCTGGCCGCCAATGAGTCTTTCATTTAAACAAGAAATAGCAGAGTCATACAGACGGTATGAAGCAAGTTTATGACACAACAGCATCGTTTGGAAATTATCGAGGGTGGGCTATTCGACAAAACGAGCAAGGTAAGGCACTCTAAGGCGGAAATCGGCGAACTCATGATGGAAAAAAGATGTCGATAAGACAAACTTGAAAGGAATGTTGCAAACCGCATGCTAAACTTGCGCATTCTGCCGTCCAAAGACTTGGGAAAACTAAACCAGAACGAAAATACTGATGACAAAATGGTGTTTGTTTAATATGCACACACCAGACGTCGATGCCGACGAGGAAGACTTTCAGATGGTCCTCAGTTTGTACCGGAACAACAAGGTAAGAAAAACTTAACAAAGTGCTCGAGCAGCCATTGGCCCTGACAACAAAGTCCACATGGCCAGGCGCGCACGAATCCACTTACATAACGGAGGCGTTATCTGAACGAAAGTGAAAGTATTCAACGCTTGAGTCCGGAATAACCGGAATCATCCAATCGGTTTTCACCAAAAGAGGCGTGGTTTTCATGAAATGACGCAAAGATTTCCGAAGCCCAGCAGATCGACGACGTTTGGAAGGCTCAGAGCATTCCCCGAAACAGCCCCCGGGGGACGCCCAGCTGTGTTCCAGATAGCTTCGGGCGCGGCGGCCGCGACCGCGTGCTTCACGCGCAGGAGCGACGCTAGACAAGGAAGCCGGGGAGGAGGCGGCTGGTGTGCGGGCTCTGCCAGTGCTGGCGTGTCAGGATGGCCAGCCGGGCCAGCCGGGCCACGGACGCCGTCGGTCAAGAGATCGGAGCCTGCAGCAGCGGCGATGCTGGAGGAGAGCAACGAGCAGACGGCCAGCAGGCCAGCGGCGTCGCCCCTGCTGGCGGCAGAGACGGTGCCGACAGCCGTGTCCACCGGGGGAGCTCATAATGTCCGCAGATCACAATGTCCACAGTTCACAATGTCCACAATTCATGGACATCGTAACACGGACCGTGTCCGCCGAGCCCGGGAGCTCGGCGACAGCGGTGATCCTGTGCTGGATAGGGGCGGCGATGGTCGAACGACAGCCGACCGACATACAATGTCAGTGGGTCGGCGGGCTGACCAGCGACAGTAACCGCCCCGCTGGCTGTCACAGCCAGCGAGCCGGTCCGCTAACTCTGCCTCGGCCAACGCTTCTCAAAACCGGGGAGTGTTCACGGTCGTGTTCGTAACACACATTTAGCATGCCCAACATCAAGTAATCTTATTTTTCATTCCAAGAACACGTGCGTAACCTTATTGTAAAATAACGGTCACCACAAGAGCCAACAAATCTAGAAGCATCGATTCCTTCCGCTTGGTGCAATTGTCTGCTTTCGATTGATTTAGCCGGTTGAGAGCTGGCTTCAGGATTCGGCGGTGGTTTTGTAGTTTTCGTAGTTTTAGAACTTATATCACTAAGCTTGGAAAAATTTTTTAGGTTTGGTTTGATGCTCTAGGTTTGGTTTGGTCTGCTGGGTTTCATGGCTTCAGAAAAAGATTCGAATCTATCCATCCGCGATGCCAAAATGCAATTCACTTAACACCGATGCTGGAAGGGCATGCTCTACATTTGAAGATATTGAAGCGAGCATCAGATCTGATGAGATAAGCTCACTTATAACTTTTGGGCATACCTTGGAGCGGAAAAACCGCTCTGGGCAACACAACTTCTGTGTTTAGTAAATACGCTCCTCATTTTTTGATGCGTCATCATACCTTGTACAACATTGGTTGACAGCCAAGCGACGGCCGTTATATCTGGAATGGTGCTCACAAACGCCAGATATAAACGACTCGACAATTTTATTTGTCTTAGCCTTGTAGCCGCATAGCTAATGGGCTAGCAGGATTTGAATGGTGTTGTAATAACGTCAGAAATGCCTGGGCGACCTAGTAATAGCCTGCGTGAAATAGTCTGCACATCTTCGCGGGCGTGTAGATTTGAAATTTAGTGGGCTTGGTCTTAAGGAGGACAAAGCTGTGAACTGCGTCGAATGATCTTCAAGATGGCTATTTCAGTCGAAAACCCTATGCAAATGTTGAGCACCTTCTTCAAAGTTTCACCTAGCTTAGCTTTGGATGACTTGAATTCGCAAAACAACCAGAGCGATAGTTAGGTACTTAAGGACCGTGGGTTAGGAACAACAGTCTAGTAAGCTGCTCTTTGAAACATGTCTTTTTTGCGAAAATAAACGATATTTATCATTCTTGGGTAACACTTTGCCAGCATAGCCAAAAAAAATAGGTCGTAGCTCATGAGCCATGGAGGTCAGGGACTTCATATCCTATACATGCCTAAACATTACGTCAAATGAGCTGCCCATAATTCAAGCGCCGTGTTCAAAACGTCCGGCAGTTACTTCCAAGGACCTTAGGGCCTCGAGGCCCCTCGTATAGGATGATGGTCAACAGTGGGCACGTCCGGTAACAGGTGTATCTTGCTGGAAAGCCAGTGACTACGCGTTTGATGGCAAATAGCATGTGCACCGGCGGCGTGCAGACAGGTGTTCTTGTGCCAAAGGCGGTCGGCTCAGGCACATCCGTCTCGCTCGACACCTCACCTCGGACAGGTGAGCAGCAGGCCGACGTCTCACCTGTGACAGGTGAGCAATAGGCCGACGTCTTACCTGTGACAGATGAGCAGCAGGCCGACGTCTCACATGTGACAGATGAGCAGCAGGCCGACGTCTAACCTGTGACAGATGAGCAGCAGGCCGACATCTTACCTGCGACAGGTGAGCAGCAGGCCGACGTCTCACCTGTGACAGATAAGCAGCAGACTGACGTTTCACCTGTGACAGGTGAGCAATAGGTCGACATCTCACCTGTGACAGATGAGCAGCAGGCCGACATCTTACCTGTGGCAGGTGAGCAGCAGGTCGACGTCTCACCTGTGACAAGTGGGCAGCGAGCAGCAGGCCAACGTCTCACATGTCACAGATGAGCGGCAGGCTGACGTCTCACCTGTGACAGATGAGCAGCAGGCTGACGTCTCACCTGTGACAGGTGAGCAGCAAACCGGTCTCACCCGTGACAGGTGAGCAATAGGCCGACGTCTCACCTGTGACAGATGAGCAGCAGGCTGACGTCTCACCTGTGGCAGGTGAGCAATAGGCCGACGTCTCACCTGTGACAAGTGAGCAGCAGGCCGACGTCTCACCTGTGACAGGTGAGCAGGAGGCCGGTCTGACCTGTGACAGGTGAGCAAGCGGCTGACGTCTCACCTGTCACAGGTGAGCAGCGGACCGGTCTCACCTGTCACAGGTGAGCAGCGGACCGGTCTCACCTGTGACAGATGATCAGCAGGCTGACGTCTCACCTGGGTCAGGTGAGCAGCAGACCGGTCTCACCTGTGACAGGTGAGCAGCAGACCGGTCTCACCTGTGGTGGGTGAGCAGCAGATCGGTCTCACCTGTGACAGGTGAGCAGGAGGCCGACGGCGAGTGTCGCGGCGGTCATGTCTAGCCGCCGGCGGGGCGACTGCGGCGCCGCGGGCCGGGCCGGCGGCAGGAGGGCGCCGGAGGGGTGCCGCGGGTCGGCCGCGAGCGCCATCTGCGGCGCCGGCGGTCCGGGCCCGCTGTGGCGCCCCGAAGAGCGGCCCACCGCGCCCGACTGCGTCGACGCCGATGAACGGCCGTCGACGCCGACGAGGCGATCGACGAGGTGGCCGCTGCCGACCGTCGCTCGGCTGATCGGACTGATGGCCGCGGAGCGGGCAAACCTGTCTTGAGTCGTCGAAAGGATGGCTGTTCAGCTGGTGACTCGCCGATTAGAGCCACTTGTGGCACATGAATGTATTGTGAGAACGTCGAGCTGTGTATATTTCGGGGCATTGCAGGTTTCTGGACTTATGTGTAGAGCTGTTTGATGTGCGCGTGCCGAGTACAAGTGTTACAAAGAGCGAGCTTGCCATATATATCGCTTTCCTCATGTTCGAATTAGCCCCATTTACTCTAGGCATTGATCACTACAGGGTCATACAATGTTCTGAAGCTCACTTTCTGTCGAGAAATCTGGAACTCAGCAAAAAACTTAACACGTCCTCGGGTGGGGGCTCAAATTGACCCTCCAAAAGGCTTTTCCAGAATGGCTTCCGAACAGCGCGGTATAGCCGCGCCAAATTTTGCATACCTGTAGACAATTGAATGGCGGATCGTTTGACACAAAAATTTAGATGCACCTTGTAAGGTCACTGACCTACGGCTGGTCAAATTCAGGCCATGGTCTCAGCGAAAGCAATTTTTAGGGAATTGTCCAATCTGATACAATAACAGAGTGTTAAACGAAGCCATACATCTCTGAGATGCTTTCTTAGGCACCACAGATATTTAATGAGCAAATTGCATTGAGCACAGGTCAAGTATGAAGGTCAGACCAAGGCCACAACCAACCTGATTTATTACTATAGGGTTTTCTGTATGGGATGGTTTGTGGTGCTCATTTCTAATTTATTGACAGCAGGAACCGCACTGTATATCTTCCATTGACTTCTTAGAGGTCAGAAAAGGTCATTGACCTAAGATGACCCGGGTCGACATTTTGTTTTAGGGGCATACTGCCTGGCGTAATCTTTGTCGCTTATTCAAATGCAAAACTCAAAGCAGTCTTGTATGATTTTGGTCACCACGACTTTCAAAATATCGAACAAAGTAACTGACCTCAAATGGGCTTTTGACCTTTTGCTTGGAAACAGTTGCCTAGGTTCTGGGGGCATTTTGGAGACCAGCCTATAATTTGACCTTGTTTGCCCTTATTTTACCTGAAGGTCATGACCCAGGAAGCTCAAACTTTGACCTAAATGATTTCACGTACAGGTCAAGCACCCTGAAAATTGGTGTCTCTAGCTTTCTTATTTCCCGAGATCTCAGGGGGGGTGGGGCAAATTGACCCCCTGCCCCCATCCGAGCGAAGGGCATCTAGCCGACCACCCGGGCGTGTGTTAAGAACGGAAAATTAAACTTCATGTACTGTGCAAAGCTGCATGCCATCATCGCTCCTTTCGCACGACTTCCACTCAGTAAGGCTTTTTGGGTCAGATGTCAATTTGGTGCGCACGGACAGCTGACAGTCCATATGCTAAAAGGCGATTTAAGCAATAGGTAGGAACTCTGATGTTCCCCAGCCCATTCCCTAACCACTCCCCACACACGAACCAGGTACCTTCTTGTTTGTTCGATCTCAGAAGGAACCTGAATTTGCCTGCTAGCCGAGGGGGAAGCGCCGTTTCAGAAGGAAGCACCGATCTCAGAAGCACCGATCTCAAGGAAGCACCGATCTCTGAAGGGGCCTGAATCTGCCTGCCAGCCGAGGGGGAAGCACCGTTTAGCTCCGCTTACGGCGAGGCAGCTGCAGCGGTCCAGATGCCGACCCTCGGGATGAGCCATCGTAGATGCCTTCTCCGTCCGGAATATGGTCACGTTGGCTGGCAGTTGGCGCACAGGCTAGCTAAACAACGATGTAGCAGACCGATATCACATTGGAAAAACGGTTTGACCAACGCAGGACCATTTCAGGTGTTTCGATGCTAATGATCAGGACATGATTTCACGATTTTGGTACCGGGATTTGCGATTTTCTGAATACGTTTGCGTTGAATTGCTACAGACCCTGCCAAATGTAATGTGAGAATAGTGGCACATCGGTCGTCAGCTTTATTACCTCCCCAGTACATTTTACCAGAACTTGGAAGAGTCCCACCTCCGCGTCCTGTGGCATAACGCCGGTAAACAATTAATGATCTATGATGTTCAAATGCGCAGTCTTATCGACCGCGACACCGAAAAGTTTGAGGCAGTTGGATAGGCGAAGAGTTGTTTCATTGAACTGAGCCGTAAGGTCACCAGGGGCACGCCCTCGGCGAAAGGCAACGCCAGCGGCATGCCTTTTGGGCCCGGTTTGTCTCCTAGTTATTTCGGACAAATCAACGTTAGGGATCGCTGCAAATTTACTGGATTTGGTCCCGGAGGTGCGCGAAATTATCTCCACGATTAAGGAAATGAGCATCGTATGCATGTAGCACAATCTTGGTGTTGAGTGTGTGCGACGCCAGCTCATTGCTTGAATAAGTGTAAAACTAAGATGAGCCCTAGGATAAGTCCCCTGGACCGACCCAGGGACGGCTGGCACAGCCGTCATTCCTCCCCGAACCTTTTGCGACAGTCGCCCAGCCAATCCCTGAAACTACGAGCATCGGTACTCTGATTATGTCAATCAATGAGCTCTCAGATATGTTCAGGGTCGGCAATGGAAGACACTGTCGTTTTCAACGCTTTGTCGCTAGGCAATGCTTTTCACGCGTTCGCTGTCCCGAGACAGATGACCAAAATGTTGTCAATGCCGATGATCAAATACGTAAAAGCATCCAGCATCGTTAATCCCATGGATCACCCAGGTAAAGACCCCGGTTGCCTGTCGCAGATAACATGTGGACCACCAAACCATTCGACGGCCGAGTAGGTACACATAGTGCTTTCTGGTAGTCTGGTAGTTTCTGGGTTTTTTACCGTAGATGTGACAGAGAGACGTCAGTAACTCCCTGAGACCAGGATACTGCCTGAATCATAAAGCAGCTGAGCCAGAACATTTCGTTTCTCTGTTGGAAGCCCTCTTGACGCAAACCGCTAGTTGATCACATTTGACAGGCGCGGTATTATCACAGAAAATGTCATCCGCTGTCCGCAGCATGCTCGGAGTGTTCGATCATCACCAGGGCTTTCGAGCGCATGCGTTTTGGAGAAGTGGCAGCTCTGACGTCGTAACCGGACGACTTTAAACGTGCCACTGACTACAAGAGGTGGGCGAGTGTACAGCTGCAAATGTGTCCAGCGCTCAAAACATGTCAGTTTGTCATGACATGTAGCTAAAATCACAGCATGTCACGACATTAGTGCTACGACAAAAGCTTCTGCCGACAGAAGTGCAGCAACATTATTTTTGGGCGACATTATTTCGACTGCAAGAACTCGTATACGCGATGAGTGGTACACGGCAAGACTTACACAACAAAACACGTACCCTTAATTACTTTTACAACAAAAACTTGTACAGTTGTTAGGTATACATGACATTTACTTTACTGCAAATGCTTATACGTAATATCAGTGCTACACGACAAAACTTATACTAAAAAAACTTATACCTATTACGTCTTCTGCAAAAATCGATACTGTACCACTGACCAGCAAGATTACGTCTAGTGTTAATATTTCTACGCGACTATTGTGCCTTGCGATACAGACCACACTTAACAAGTGATACCAGTCAGTACGACTACACATGGGAAAAGCCTCACGAAAATGGGTGGTGCGAGCACACGGGAGCACTTCGACGGGCGAAATCAGACCAGTGGTAACCATTCCTTAGTGTCGATACATTAGGGCCACTGAAGTACAGATTAGTACTGAAGTACAGATCGACAGATTCACGACGGCGATGGCTCTACACCACATTTCCCTTGCTGAAAAACGCATAGTGCAGAGTCGTAATTTTGCAAACTAAAGTTGGAAGTTAAGCAAAGAAAATGGCCAAGCCTGCCTCAAGGTATATCGAATGCGCGGTTTGCCCACAATTTGACATCCTACGATCACCGATGAGGAGTGGGTGGGGTCCTCCCCCCCCCCCCCCCCGACTGAATATTTAAGTACAAATCGGAATTCACTGAAATGCGATATTACTTCTGCTCCAATGACTTTAAGGTTTGAGTGTTACACGGGAAAACTAAAGCTTCAAAAGGATCTGCCCATCATTAAGACTCTGCTATCAAGCTACAGCCCTTACACATACATCATGCATGAAAAATCGGTGAAATAATGTAACATAGTCGCGTCGCGTCTACGCACAGACTGTAGGTTTGCAGTGGAAGTGATGATGGAAAACATTTGCGAAGTGAAAGTTTTGTCGTGCAGCTCTAATGCCGAGTAGAAGTATTTGTAGTGGAAGTAATGGCATGAACAAGTACTGTCTGTATGAGTTTTGCAATGCAAGTAATATCGGGTATAAGTAATGACTGCGTCAGTTGTTTTAGTCCAAATAATGCCGGATGTACAAGTTTTTGAGGCTTAAGTCGTTGTAGTAGACGAAATGTCATTGATACGTAAGATTGGTGTAAGTTTTTGCAGTAAAAGTAATGACGGGTGTACATTTTTGAAGCACAAGTTTTATCGCGTATCACTTATACCATGTATAGGTATTGGCAGTAGTGTCGTAACACCCTTACCCGGTTGAACTTTTTACTGTAGCACTAATGTCGTGGAGCCGAAGTACAGGACTGCAGTATGTGTTGAACTGCGCACCTGCCCAGAACTCAGCATTTAGGAGTGGGAAAACGATGTATAGTCGAAACCCACTCCTGCTTTGTGCTTGTGCACTTGTGCCAATGTCCATCGAAATACGAAAATGCCCTTTCATCCAAATCCTTGGAGCCGTTAGACCAGCTTAAAACGCGTCCTTAAATAGCGACACAACTTGAGCAGCGTTTCCACCCGTATGCATTTTACGTGGTGCAATGTCCACTCCACTCGAAAGTACGGAGGTATAAGACGTGCAGGCATCCCGGCCACATTCCACGACCCGGCAGTTTTCGCGGGGACGTGTTCGGCACGTTTCACCTGGCAGTTTGCACCTCACGAGACCAAATGTGAATACTCTGCAGAGGCTCAGCTACCCGTAACAGCAATTTTCAGCGCTCCGAAATGCGCGACGACCTTCGCTCGCTCGCTACTCTCCGCCGGATCTTAGTCTGACATCATGCAGTGATTGACGGATTGCGGTAATGCGCATGCGCCGGCGCATGCGCAGAAAGGAGAAATCTGTCAGCTCACGGTCGCCTTCGTAAGCGCCGTTGCAATTCTGGCCGGCGGGGACCGCCAGGTAAGTGGAACGCGCATCTAACAGAACGACCGGCCGGTGCCAGAAGTAAGTGTTTGAAAGTACCAGCCTGCTGTCATGAGCGAGGGTACAGGGAAGGTGGGCGGGGCTATGGTGGGGTGGATGGTGGGTAAGGTGGTGGTGAGTGATGGGGATTGGCCCGCACACTTTTTCGGATGAAATGAATCATAGGCGTAAAAACGTTTAAAAAACTTGGGGGGCAGGCTCAGGGTATACTTCAGGAACTTTTTCTGGAAAGCGAGGCCGGTGATCTGGGGGGGGGGGGGGGAGGGGGCAGAGATGGAGGTTGTTATCGCTCTATTCAAATGCCGTGGTGCTATGCTATGCTAGATATACACCTAGAGCTGCTTGTCACTGGCGCACAATCTTGCCTATTCGACTCGTCTATGCCTGGCAAATAAGGCCATCCAGCTTCCCGAGGCTACTCGTCCATTTTAGCATTGTCTTTTCTGGGGAGGCGAAATTCCACGAGCGGATAGGCATTTTGGATCATTGAGGAGGCAGCTGCGTCCACAGGGTAGATGCCAAAGTATGGCCGGGACGTAGGTTGGTAACAATTTTGAAAGTGAACCGATGGCTCACAACGCGACAGATTTTTCATGCACCGTCATTTCGTTGGCTGATTTTCAAGAGATAAGACTTGTCGTAGCATTTAAGGCGGGAACAAAGTCAGAGTCTTGAAACTGCCAAAAACGACGTGACCATAGCCATTGAACTGAGGATTCTCTTGTAAGAACCAAGCCACATAATGAAGGCCCGTCTGTCATATGTTCTGGGCCCTGTTCCCTTCGCCGTCGGCGGCCACCGCCCTGACCTGGCTGTCTCGCGCATGACTGACCGCCACCTGATCGTATGGCTGCTTTGTTGCATATTTCTGGATCAGCATTTCTACTGATCAGTTTGTGAAACATATATTGGACAGCTGTAAAATATCTTTGTTGCGAATTATCTTCCCTTACATCACACCATCGCAGAAAAATAGCCTCCAGGAGGCCGCTTACGTAGAGTATGAACTGGCCCGACGGACATTTCGTTGCCCATCATTTAACGTAGACGACTGGATCTGCTTTTGTGTGTAGGCAAAGGCGTAGCCAGAGCCTTGCTAATGGGAAACACAGGGTTGACGAACGCCCCTCTCATGGCGACCCCCTCCAAAACATCTCTGGATATAGCTTACTTGTTAACAAGGGATGCGGTTTTCTTGGTTTTATCGTTGTCTTTACCTTGTAACCAGAACGGAAACCAGAAGCTACCGTGAGATCAATTCTGTTTGTATTTTAAAGTCAATAAACTGCAGAAATCAGGCGTTGAACGACGGCATGGAATAAATTACCGGCGCCATTAAGTTACCATGGTTTAGTGGACTCTTTCTAAGCCACTAGAATTTCGAAGCTTTGTCAGAATTTGTTATCTGGGTCTTACGGACATTAAGGACATTGCGAAGGTAGGCTGTAGATCGATGCGTTTGACCCAAATTTGAAGATAAAAAATTGATTACAGATCGAGTGGTCAACAATGTGTATTTACATGGCCAAACCATGTTTGTCTGCAAATGTTCACCATTCAGCCAGAATCGATCAATGGTGCAGTTTATGTAGGTGTTTTTTAACATGCACGCTCGCAAATCTTCGCAACCAAAGCCTCGGCACTAGGCGTAGCAGTCTCCATAGTACGCAGATAGTCCATTGGCTAAGTTAGCCGCGGCCCACTGGTGGACGCAAATGATGACGCTTCTCAAGTGGTTGTCCTTAAATACTATGATCGACTCGAAGTACAATTTATGTGACGTAATTTTGAGCGTGCGCACTCGAAAATCTTAGAAACAAAAACCTCGACGCTGGGCGTTGCTGTCTCCGTAAACCGCGCAGCTTCGGTTTAGCAGCTAATATTGAGCTGCGGCCAACAGGTTGATGAAAATGATGACGCTTCTAAAAGAAGTATCTGTGAACGCTTCATGGCATCAAGTGCTGGATTTAAAAGGCAGATGGGCGCATATTTCAGGTGCGCAATTTTTATACTGATGATAAGCACGGATTGGCCCTTGAAGCACCGCGAAGTGAGGCTGGAATCAGGTGGTTGAACTGTAAGAGTAAAGGTAGAATCTTTATTTTTCGTGTTTCTGCAGCTATTTATCTTCCAGAAGGCAGATTAACACGGTGCCTGCCGTCTGGTGGCACTGGTGGTGGCACGCCGCAGTAGCTGAAACCGTTCGGTTTTACGGAAGCTACATCCCAGGCCACCGTTGTCCCCGCTCTCGAGGTTGCGGGCGGGCATGTTAAACCTCACTAACCCATTCTGAAAGAAATGAACGTTCCCGGGCAAACATGGGATGTCCTTGTTCGTTTTTTTAAGTTAATTTCGACCCACTCTATTCAACAATAATGAGACCCGACTCTAATCAACAATAATGAAACCCCTTATTTCCTTCCGGACGACGGGCCCCTTAAGTAAAACACCATGAATACATTACCGTTTCCGATCAAAAGCTGAAGGGTCACTGCCTCCCATCGCGAAGTGTCTTCTGGCTGTCATTCTGGTGACAGGGGTGGAATCTCTTGGTCGATCCTGAGGCCGTTAGAAATATATATCATATTACATTGTTTCCGTCCCTAGCAAGGGAGGCCTTCTGACCCGCGCAGTTAGCCCTGGATCAGCACAGGAACCCTTAATGACGCAACAACATCCCTGATCGCCGCAGGGGGTCCAGTGATTATCACATAGACTCCAGTTCCATGTTCTTCTGTATTCTTCAGAGATACTGAAGACTTCCCGAACGTAGATTGTGGATGAAACGGAGTCCCAGATTTATATCAACGTGGCTGATCCATGTTGATCGTAAAATGTTCAAGATTCAGTCAGAACTGATTACGGATAATAAGCCATGTAATATGATTTCTCATAAAAGCTGGAGTGCCCCTCTCCCCACGCTCCATTTTAGGATCAGCCCTGGTTCCAATCCGTTCAAGGCAGAATGTTTAGGGAAAGGCAAAAGTGTGTAAGGTACATCTTACGTGCACATTATGTACAGTGGAAACTAATTGAACACCGTCATGAAAGCACCTTACGCACATCGAAAGTGGGGATGTCATTTATCGCCTGTATCAGTTGTCTTGTTTTGGCAAATCTGTACCCGATGAGAAAACTGTGGTATCAGGTATGAATGTGTGTAGGAAACATCTGGCCATGAATGCATTCATGAGGGCACCCGGGGTACGTGCCCGCCCCCCCCCCCCCCCATTATAAAAGATCGAGGTAGATATGTAGAAAACCGGAATGATGTGTGTTATACATGCAGCATCCAATAAATCTGACACGACTTCGGGGTGCTAAAACGAACTTTTCATTCCGAAATTTTGTGTTATGTTTTGTTTTGCGTTTCCTCTTTCATCGCCAAACCGTGCCGCACGCCCCGGCACCGGTCGTCAGCGCATTGGTCAGCTTTGGCATAACTCCAGCCCGGCACCGAGAGTGACCAAACGGACGGTGAGAGACAGTGCCGGGACGGGACCGCTCGGTCAGGCAGCGCGACATCGATGGACGGAGGTCGTGGCGCTCCCAGGCGCGGCAGGCCGCCGCCGGCCGCGTGACACCCACCGAGCGGGGTCAGTGGTGACCTTTGACCGGGCCGCCACGGCAGTGCCAGGCTCACGACGGACCCTGAATACGCCGATGCTGTCGTGCTGAGAGGTCTCTGACCAGTCGCTGATCCAGACCCGGATGCGCTTACCGCTTCAGGCTTGAGCGTCCCCTGTCCTGCTGTCGGTAAACAGACCTGTTTAGATGCTAATCAAATGGGTGCCAATTTAACTTTGATTGGAGTCTGCGTATGTGACGGCGGCGACATGACTGGCGTCGGTCCAGTCCGAAGCGTCATCCAACTGACAGCGCCATCCGAGGCGTGGGTTGCCGGGTGGCACGTCTTGCACGCTTACTGTGAAGGGACAGCCATGCGCATGAGTTGCATATGCCACGAGGCATTAGTGATCAGATGTTCTAAAAAAAAACTGTTGAATTGTCTCGGGGAAATGGTCCTTTTCAGCCGTCAATATCTCGTAAAACATGTTGGCGGTTCATTCATGCCGTGGTTGGTGCGTTGTTCGTCGTTTGCATGCGTCTCAGTATAGGATACCTAGTCGTTTGCAGGCCCCGAAACTGGATTGGCCCCGTGTTTGCTTTCGAAGAAACCCTTGGACGTCTTTCCTAGTCCAATGGCCTTGCTTTGCGCAGGTGGTTGTGTCCACACTTCATTGTGGTCGAGACGACTGAGTGAGGAAAAATTGCTCGCATGCGAAGTGCATTCCAAACACACTCCCACATTTGCTCCTGCATCCCCATCTGCAAGCATTTGTTGGCATCAGACAGAAGCATGATGACGGCTTTGTCCTGGTATAACTTCGTCTCAGTCGGGAAAGCTTAATGGCCAGTGAAGTTTTGTGAGCTGATGGTCAATGGTGGAGGCGCAGTGAAGAACGGTTGTCAGTGCAGCTTTCTTAAAATCAGAGTGTGCGCCTGACTGATGCCTAGTTAAGGCATACCGGAAGCCCCTGGATATGGTGGAGGCACAGGTCTCAGGCAAAACACCGATAGATGAAACTCCGAAATTGCTCTTAATTCGACACCGACACTGCCACCCGTGACTGCCTGGGGTATCCTGCCACCCGTGACTGCCCGGGGTATCTTGCCACCCGTGACTGCCCGGGGTATCGTGCCATCCGCAACTGCCTGGGGTATCCTGCCACCCGCGACTGCCCGGGGTATCCTGCTACCCGCGACAGTTTGGGGTATCACGCCATCCGAGACTGCCTGGGTTGAGGGGTTGGTGAGTTCATGGTGTCTCGGTACCTTACCGTCGGATCAGAAATTGAGAACCTCTCTGACATTCAAGGGCGCCCTTTAGACCGATCAGGGGCGATTCTTCAGTTTTTGGAGCGCTCTTTGATCTCTAAAGGCGTCCTTTACACTTTCGGCAGGACGTGGACTATGAGGGGCTCTCGCGAGCTCGTGAAGCCGTGCCCGGATCCTGCCCGGAGTCTTGAGCCGTGCTTTAGTTCTTCAATTCGTCCTTCTATACTCTGGGACATATCTATACACATGAGTGCCGTTTCGTCCCTTGGGAACGGCTTCTCCCCTCAGCTCAAGGTTTGGGGCACATTTACGTCTTCACGACCATTAAACGGCCAGCCCCGTCCCAATCCGTGCCTGGCACTCCTAAGGACTCGAGAGATGCCCGCCCCGTGCTCAGCATGCCCTAAACAGCATGTGTTCCGCAAAGCCTGACAGAGAGTCCCAATGGCCCCTAGAGGGGCGCCCCCACTTTCCGATCGGAGGAGAGCGTGCCCTCAGTGCCCCTTCTCTGGATACGCCCCTGACGTCCATGACATTGACCTCCCCACCACCTGTCGTCGTCGCTCCAGACACAACGCGTCCGTTCTTCCCCCGACGGCGCATCAGCCGGCTGCAGCGCCCCAGCGGCGGCGGGACGTCCGCCGCGCTATCTCTGTGCCCGGGAGCGGTGCAGCTGTCGCGCCGCGAGTCGGTGTGAGACTCGGCCGTCGTCAGCCCGCTTCTGCCTGCGTTTCAGCCTCCTCTCGCCATGGTGGTATTGCCGCTGCTGCTCAGCACGCTGCTGGTCGCCGCGCCGGGCGCCGCCGACCGGCCGCCGCTGGACGTGGTGCTATACTTCGAGGCGCTCTGCCCCGACTGCCAAGACTTCATCTCGGGCGGCTTCGCAGACGCGTGGCGCGCCGTGCCGGAGATCCTGAACGTGACGCTGGTGCCGTGGGGCTTCGCCACGGCCACGCCGGACGGCGACGGCTGGCGCTTCACCTGCCAGCACGGCCGCGAGGAGTGCCGCGGCAACAAGCTGCACGCGTGCGGGGTGCGCCAGGCGCCGTCGTCGGGCGCGTCGGTCGACTTCTCCGTGTGCCTGGAGGCAGAACGGCCCGAGGAGGAGTGCGCCGACGACAACGGGCTCGACTGGGACGCGCTGGAGCGGTGCGTCGATGACCCCGACACCGACGCCATCATGCTGCGCTACCGCGACCTGACCGACGACGCGCGGCCCGAGATCGTCGAGGTGCCCACGGTCAGCGTCGATGGCAGTCGGCGGCACCAGGACGACATGCTGGACGACTTCCTCGAGTTTGTGTGCAACGCGTGGCAGGGCGAGACGCCGCCCGGCTGCCTGCAGCGGGTTGACCTTGACTGACGCGGGTGGGGCCGACCACGTCCACGTCACGAGCCCCGATGCCGGCCGGCTCCGCCACGGTCAGGGCTGCTCGGCCACACGCGTCCGGGTGGTGTTTAGTGTTGGTGTGGTGATACACGTTCAACTGCTATCTGCTCCGTTGGGGATTGCAATACACGTGTGGTTGTGATTGCCCTCGTTTGTCTGCCAAGATTACGAGCATTTGAGAGTTGGGATTTCATATCTGCTGGCGGAATACTGCATTAAGCCAGTAGAATTATCCAGGTGCTTAACCGCCAGCATCGTACTCCCGCATGAACACCTCATTGGGCAACGGGAGGATCGCATGCTATTTCGGCGATGTTTGAGGACGGTACCGTCCTGTGTGGAAGCGTACGGCTTCGGTCAGTCAGTCAGCCGTCAAACTTTTACCTGCTCTTCGTTCCAAGCACAGCTTCACAAACAATGGATAGCCAATGGGATTATATTTGATAGGGCACTAGTACAGTTTCTCACATTGATCGCACGTCCGTGTAACATTAACACATAGCTTAACGTGAACAGCTACAAAAATACGCTCCACCCTCAGCAGCCTGCGCGCAACAAGAAACATGGAAAGGAGCGTGTTTGGAGACGCGCAGTGACTGGGGAGAACGCACGACCCGAGAGACCGGAGAGGGCGCAGGGGCTGGGCACTGGTCGCGACATTGCGCCACCACTGCTCGTCACAACAACTGCTCGCCGGCTGCGCCAACGCTCGGCGGAAGGGAAAGCTGCGAGGGGTTAGCCACGGCACGATGCAGCGACGGAAATTGCTGGGTGCGCGCGTCAACGGCGGGCGGCTCGCAGCTGGACCGTTGCCAGCCGCGTGCACCAGCCGCAGCGAACCGCGCAGGTGGGCGGCGGTCCGGCGCTGCGCAAGCGCGCAACCACAAACCAAGTGTCGATAGAAAATACTGAGAAATAACGACGTCAAGAATGCATGGCAGGCGAAGCAGGCAGCAGGCAGACACGCAATTTCAGAGGGATTCGAAACGAATCAACAAAAGCAGACTCCCAACTGGCACCAAACCTTACCCGTAGCATCCTAGCGCGGCCCACGCGTGCTTCCGGCCGCTGCAGGGTAAGCTCGCGGCCGAGCGGGGACCGGCCGACAGGGCGCCAATGCTCTATACACAGCTGCGTCGAGACTGAAGCCGCGCACAACGCAAGCCAATCCTCGGCACACGGCTGGTACTATCCAGTTACAAAAGCGGCACACCATACGTGCATCACACTAGCGCGCGGCGGCCGCCGGGTGGCGCTGGCAGCGCGCCGCCAGGGGCGCTGGCAGCGCCCTCCCGCCGGCGCGGTGCCACGCGCGCTACACAACTAGAGCCGAAAGGTCGCAAGCAGGGCGTTACAGGGCTGCATTTCGTACACATCAGAATGTGCATATTTATATGTACAGGTATCACAAACGTTGCGGTGGTGAAGCGGAAGTCAATGAAACCGGGGAGCCGTCGTGTTGCTGCGGCGGCCCTTCGATGCTCAGACGCTCACATCCTTGTTGAATATTATAAAACTATCAAAAGGTAACCAGGCCCAGTTGAAACGCTCTCGCAGGAGCTCACTGGCTTTTGATTTCCGCGTGGAGAATGCATAGACTTTGGTGCCAGAGCACCCGTCACGAGCAGACCAGCTGTTCGGACCCTGCGGTCGGGGAGCGTCTCGCCTCCTGTTCAGAGGACGCCGGACTGCTAGTCCGCCCAGCGAGAATTAAGTAGACGTGTTGTGACCATATCTGGCAGGGGCCTTAGAGCTGTCATCCGCGCGCAACGAGCCACTGGGACGCCCACGCGCGGCGCCGGCGCACGAGAAACAGCCAACGCTCTCGATAACACCCAATACGAACAGGACTCTTCTAGAAATAGGTACAACTCTTCAATTATGGAGAGCAAATCCCGTCCAGCCCATGGCGCCGTGATAAAAAACCAACTAAGTACTTCGCTTATGGAAAGAACCGTGTGAGCCACAACTCAGAGAATTGCAGTCTCCTCGTCTACTATACAATAAAATACAATCAGATTATCTTTACTGAACACATGAGTGGGACCCTCCGGATACCAACTATATACTGGCAGACAGAGACTGTGTGTCTGCGTATTTGTACGATTGTAAAGGCTCTGTATCGGTGGTTGATGACGTCACTCCATCGACCGTACCCGAGCGCACTCGTCTAGTTCGGCCTGTATGTACAGAGACTCCTACCAATATATACTATATACATGTGCATATCTGCGTACACACGCATGCGCTCGGGCACACTCACACCCACACCGTGCGGCCGGCAGCCCACACAGCCACGCGTCGCCCCGCAGCCACCCACACAGCCACGCGGGGCCCGCAGCCAGCTGGAGGAGGCCCGTGCGGACCGTCGTCCCGGCCGGCGGGGCCCGGGTCAAGGTTGTTAAAGCTGGGTGACCCGGGCCGCCGGCCCCCCGAGCTGGGCTCGGCCGCAGCAGGTCGGCGGCGGGCGGCGCGCAGCCCAGACCGGCCGCAGCACTATCTGACCTCAGGTCAGGCTCGGTCGTCGACGGCAGCGGCTATGTCAACAATAACAAGCGAGCTCCGCCCTAGGCTATGCACACTGATTCGAAGCGACGATGCTGCGGCTACGCACGACTGAGGCGCGGACGCACGGATGTGCTGCCGGACATCACAGCGCGGTATGTACACAAACTTCAGGTTTGCTCCTCGTCGGGTAGATGTCAGGCGCGGCGACGGTGCGTGCAGCAATCTTCTTGTGAGGAGGGCGTAATGGCACTTGGTGTTGCGATTCGATTCGACTTGGTACCTGCAAAGGCGGATGAAGCAATCAAAATGTTGTTTCTCGTGCACATGTGCACAGCATCATGTGGTACATATACTTGTCGTGGGCCCGTAAGCGACTATTTTGGTGTGTGTAAAAAGTCTGGAAAAGTCTGTTTAGTTTTTATTTGCCAGGACACGTCACGACTCATGCTCTCTGTGGAAACACTGTGGGTACTGGAGTCGGGCCTCATGAGCATCCCTGCAATCTTTTCATAACGCGATTCCGAAATTATCCTTTTGACATAATGACATCAGAGCTGCAGTGCAGATATTGTTTTAAGTGTTTAACTTATTGTGCTTTTCTGAACGTGACAATTATTGCACTTTCCCATACTCATGTAGTTAAACCGAGGTCTAAAAAGGCCTCCCGTAGCGAAAAAGGGGCAGTCAGGTCAGGCTGTCCCCAACTTCACTTCTCACTTTCATAATGTCCTCGATCCATACGACACTAAAGCCCTTTAAAACTTCGCATTCGAGATTCAAACTTTTCCCGATATGGGCGGCGGCAGCGGCGCCCCCACCCCCTTCATCACTCGCGTCCAGGCCGCCGCTGTCGATGTTCCGGACCAGAACGGAAAATCGGAATTAAGTGGGCGTCGGCACGCAACGCTGCCGGCAGTTTGAGATGTCGATGCGGTCGGTGCCAGGCCCGACCTGGCCGGGCGCTGGCGGCGCCGCAGGCCAGGCGCACTAATGGCTGCCGGGGTGAGCGGCGGCTCGCAGGCCACGGGGGCCACCACAGCAAGAGCGGCGCCTTCCACATGTCTGGAAGGGCTCGGGTACAGTGCGAAGTTGGTCCTTCAGCACAGTATCCCTGTGCGTGGTCCGATGAGCGGTACAGCTCAATGGGTTCCTTCCGCACGGGGCAACTGTACGCGCTCTCTTCAGCACTGACTGAAAACGTGCGCGCCCATCAGCCTCGACTAGTGCGAATCCCGTCACCAGCCGCTGGTGGCGGGTCCCATCACCGGCGCTGGTGACGGATCCCATCATCAGCCGCTGGTGACGGATCCCATCATTAGCCGCTGGTGACGGGCCCCATCACAGCCGCTGGTGACGGGTCCCATCGCGTGCGCTGCGCCGGCCGCTGTTTTGAACAGGCGTCGTCCAGTCAGCTGAGACGTTCGCTCCGTTCCGTCCCGGTCCGCCCGTTCCGTCCCGGTCCGCCCGTTCCGGCCCGGTCCGCCCGTTCCGTCCCGGTCCGCCCGTTCCGTCCCGGTCCGCCCGTTCCGTCCCGCCCGGCCGGCCCGGGACGGCTGGACCGGAACGGTGGCCCGCTCTGGCCGCTCTCAGGAGCGCCCCTGCGCTGGGCAGACGTCAGATACGGCGTCATGATCCACACAGCGGGCAGGGAGGGAGCATTGTCTCCCCCCCCCCCCCCACACACACACTACACTCGGAGTTGACAATCTGGTTGTCTACGACTCACCAAACGAAGTGGTCGGACATGAGAAAAACCTAGAAACTAAAACCTTAAGACTTAAAAATTTGTCTTGCTGGGTGGCTTAAACATATCAAGTTGGCACCGTTGTCATTTGTGATGCTAATCTGCCCACTGGCAGCAACATTCAACTGGCAAATATGGAAGGATGTCATAACCTCCATAATAAGTTCAAATCAATATTTTGAGTGGCTCCAGTCCCTCCCCCTTTACCTCCCCCTTTACCTCCCCCTTTACCTCCCCCTTTACCAGCCCCTTTCCCCAGCCTCTTCTGCCTAGATGCGATGCTAGCAGCCAGGCCCCGATTCGCCATGTCTCTTCCCACACCCCGTTCTCCCAGCCCGACAGAGGGCGTGCCACCCGCGTTCACCTCCGCGGCCCGTCTCGACTTCGGCCACGCCCGGTGCGGACGAGGCCGGGCGGCGCGGCCGCTGCCGCCATGTCGGTCTCAGCCAGCGGAGCGCCGGGGTGGGGGAGAGCGGGACGGCCGGGCCGGCCATTGGTGCCGGTCTGTATGCAGCTCTACGAGCCCCGGCGGCGCACTTTGCCGGCCAGGTATCACCGGCAATCTGAGTCGGCGGCGGTGGCGGCGGCGGTCGGACCAGGCCGGCCTGGTGGCGGCTGAAGCGCCGGCCCAAGGCCACCGATATTCTGAGCCGCCGGGGGCCAGCGGACGCCGCGTGCAACGCGTCGGCGTTGCAGCGGCCGGGTTCAACCTCAAGGTCAGTGGCGCCCCGGCCCGGCCTATTCCTAGCGACGGACAGCCGTATCCAAAATACCGGGCGCCGCCCGCGCGCTGCCAACTGTCGACGGCCGGTCGCGTGCTGCCAGATGCGGCCGGGGGAAGGTTGGTGCGGCCGCGTCCGCGGCGGGGATCGCTAAACGCTGGACCATAGCC